CTGAACATTCGTTCTACTGACGCCGAAGATGGGAGGAGAGTATTCGATTTTATGAAAATATTCTTGACCGTAGGATAAGCAAGGAGAATAGCCAGTGAAGACTTAGGATCCTGGCAATATCTCCTGAATTCGGTTTCACCTGCTCCTGTTTCCAAATTTTGTTGGGCTGTCATCATAGCCGCCTCTCTCGAACCAAAGTTAAAATCGTCATTATCGATTTCCATTGGAAATATATTTGTCGTTGAAGACTTGGTGGAAGCAGCAATTGCTTCTTTAATTGCAACCATGACGTTCGCTTGAGCGGTTTCATCCAAACAATGCAGCCATTTTAACTTAAATTTTGGATGTGTTGCAGTGGCTACAGCGGCTACTTTCCCTTGATCAACGACGGTAAAGTAGTTAGAAAACCTATAGCCCAAGAAAGGATCAGTGAGCAATATACGAAATTTCTCTCATAGCAATCATAACATTTTTTAGCAAATTTTCGTAGGCTAGAAAACAGCGCACGCTTTATGCGCGTATATATAGCAATGAGACATGAGCAATTCGATTAATAGAAGAATTGTTTAATATTAATATGAATTATACCAAGTATGAAATCAAAACCTCTCTCCTAATATCATACCAAAATGGATCAGTTTTTTGTATAAGCTTGCAAAAGCTTGAAATATCAAAAAACTTGGCAAGTCCCGAAGGAATTCTATAAAAAATATCTCGACCGAATAAATCAAGACCGAGAAACATCTCTCATCCTCTCAGTTTTCAAGTCGGACACTTCATATCAATAATTCCCATTGAAGAAAAAACCGTAGAAAAATTACACATTCTTCCGATAAAATCGATACAAAGTAGATGGAATTATTATATCCATTCGACGAAGTTCCATGAAAGTTGAATATAATTGACAATGCATTCCTATCAATGTTTTCCATCACTTACTTCTGATAAAGGTTTTTTTTTGGTGAAAAGATCTATCCCCTCCGTAAAAGCAAAATAATCTCATTATCGGAAATATTCACTGAATGTTGACAAGAATCTTGTCCAAGTTAATAAGAAATTTGTTAACAAAACGCGAAATTCGAATGATATTCGTATGGGAGCATCCAATAAATGTACTCTCCCAGATCTGTGAGTCTGGCAACTAACTTTGATTACGGAATTTGCAAAAGATTCACACAAATTTACTTACGAACTTGTTACCAAATTGCTCTCACCTTTTATCGAGACTTGATAATAAAACCTTAATAACTGGTTTACAGTAAATTAGGTATTCCTTTTCTAAATCAATCAAATCATTTTTGGTTGATATGAGAGTCGGTAACAGCCACCCATACCCAATAGTGACATCTCCTTGCAGTCGATTCAGAGCTTTTGCAATTGGTGCTGTGCACTTCACATACTCTTTGAGGAAACTTTTAGGGCATTATCTTCAACTGCTTCTCTTTCTCATTTTATTTTAGATTGAGCCTTACATGAAATCGCTGGTCACCAATGAATTCTTGATATTAAGTTTGTCTACCATATACAAAACTTTATCCTTCAGTTGGACAATCTGCTCGTAAGCATCATAAAAAGAATTCCAGCGAGTTACCACTGGTCTCTTCAAGGCTTTCCCAAGAAGTTCAACGATTACCTCGTATTGCTTCGGAGATCTCGTCAGATTCCAGAGCTTGACACACTTCTCCAATATGTCGGTGTACATTAATTTGATATTTTCAATACCACTGATACCGCGACTGAGGTCACTGGTT